TAAAATATCAAAAACACAAACCAAAACAGAAGTTTCATGTTTGAATTATTAGAATTTATTCTCAGTCCAGTTAATTGATTTTAATTCAGTATTTTCTCGATAAAACATTTTATCTTTTATTTCTTTCAGAATTTCAGCAGCAACTTCCAGACGGCGAAAGAAGCTCTGAGCGCCGCCACGGCTCAGGCGGCGGAGAAGGCGGCTTCCAGTGTTCGAGACTTTGCTCAGAAGAGTTTCCGTCTGTCGATGGACGTCAAGCTGAAGGCGCCGCTCATCATCGTCCCCCAGTCCTCCACCTCCCAGAATGCACTGGTGATGGACCTTGGTCTGATCACGGTGGGTAACAGCTTCTCTCTGCTTCCTGTGGAAGGGTGTCCGCTGCCGGCGGTTGTCGACAAAATGGACGTCGAGCTGACGCAGCTCAAACTGTCGAGGTCAGTTGAACAGAGAAGAAAGTTTTATCTGTCTTTACACTGAAAAATAAATGTAGCAATAAAGTTTGGACATAAAGACTCATTTCCTGTTTCCTCCAGGACCTGTTTGGACCTGGAGTCTGATCGACCCAGCATTGAACTGCTGGAACCCGTCAACCTGCACCTGATCGTCAAGAGGAACCTCGCTGCTTCCTGGTACAAGAAGATGGCCGCTGTGGAGATCGACGGAGACCTGAAGCCCATGATGGTTGTTTTTCCCATAAAAACATCTGAATGATGATAAATATATCTGTTTTTATTTTTCACTAGAGATAAACAGTCGTTCTGATGCTTCACAGTTTAATTCTCTGCAGACTAAAGAAACACACATGAACTGACACATGATCACATGCTCTTGTTTTACATCCAGTCGACATGTGAACCAGTGAAGGTACAGTGGTTTCTGAAGAGTCCTGTAGTGAAGAGTTAGTGTCTGTAGATGTCTGCACGTAGGTTTGGATTGGACGAGCAGCTCAGTCTTTGTGTTTAGTCTTAAGTTCAGGTCTGAAGCAGCTTCAGTGTCTCAGCTTCTGTTGGTGGATGTAATAACTGCAGTGTCTCTGCTTGGCCTGCAGGTGGAACTGAGTCAGGAGGACCTGAAGGTGCTCCTTCGGATCCTGATGGAGAATCTGGGAGAGGCTGGGAGTCTGCAGCCCACCGCCCCAAAACTGGGGGAGATCAGTCTGCCTGTCCGGACAGCAGGGACGCCCCCTGCAGGTCTGAGGACAGATAATATTTACAGACCTTCTGATAAACACTGTTTGTGTTCCTGTCGTCTCCCGACTCCTGATCTGGGTTTCATGTCTGCAGATGTTGTGAAGTCGAGTGTGAGCAGAAGTGAAGAGGAGGATGAAGGTCTGGAGTCCGTCAGGTTCAAGTTCAACATCGATTCTCTCGGTCTGGTTCTGTACGGTAACGACCCACAACAGGTCCGTCACAGAAACAACAGCTCAGTAGAGTTCTGTAAGACTGGATCATGATCAGCTGGTCCAGGATCAGGTGTCTGATGGTTCCTCCTGTTCCCTGCAGCCTTTCCAGCACCAGGAGAACCTCAGACTGGGCGAGTTCACCCTCCGGTTACTGAAGACGTCAGGGAGGATCTTTGCCAGCGGCAGCATGGAGGTGACCACGGTCCTGACGGACTGCACGCTGGACGACCTGAGGACCGGCATGGAGAGGGTGACTTCACGGTAAATCATGTGACCTATTCAACTCGTTTTAATTCTTGTTTTTTTAACCTTTGGTATCTCATATACTACTAATATAAATGTTTAAAAAAAGTGACGCCTCTGCTTGATGTTTGTTTCATTTATTTATATTTCTTATTTGCAGCATGGTCAGACGTAGAGACGAGAGAAGCTCAGAGACGATGATCGATGTGACGTATCGTCAGAGCGCCGCAGAGCGGGAGGTGGTGGCTGTTCTGCAGAAACTCTATCTGTGTGTCAGCGTGGAGTTTCTCATGGCCGTGGCAGATTTCTTCCTGCAGGCTCTGCCACAGACTTCAGCTCTGACCACCACCTCAGCACCAGGTGACAGACTGCCGCTGAGACAGACGGCAGAACCCCGAGCCGACGCCAAGACCGGTAAGACCCAGACGCACAAACTCAATGAAGTAGAACAGAAATAAAAACCACAGTAAAATCAAAACCAACCCACCCACCTTCACCCGGCTTTAAAACCCTCGTCCCTCTGCAGCGGCCACGGTCAGGACTCGTCTGCGCGCGGTGGTAGTGGACCCAGAGGCGGTGTTTGTTGCCAACCTGTTGAAGGCCGACGCCCCCGCCCTGGTGGCCTCGTTTCAGTGCGACTTCACCCTCCAGGTCGAAGACGACGGGACGCAGAACATGAAAGCAAACCTGAGAGAGCTGAAAGTCCTCGCTTGTCCGCTCATCCGAAACGAGGAGGGCAAAGCCGTCACCACCGTAAGATCACATGACGCGGACAGTGCTTCTGAAACTGATTACTGCCGATCGGCAAAGTGAAAGTTTTCAGTTTGTTTGGATCAAAATGATCAAGACGTCCTCACCTGCTCTTGACACATCTGTCGGACTCTGTCCAATAGGTGTTGAAACCCTGCTCTGTTTTCTTGGAAACCAAAACCAACCCCAACCAACCGCTGAGCGGCTCTGTGACCGTGGAGGAAGTCATCGTCAAGGTGCGTTCAGCGATTTACTGTTTGTAAGATGAAACAGTTCAACGTCTCAAAAATAACCTGAAGTTTGGATCATGTGACCAAACTGGTTTGTTATAGAAAACTAAACGAGTAAAAAAACTCATCGTCAGCGTTTCGTTCTTCGTTCAGATCTCTCCGTTCATCATCAACACGGTGATGACGATAACAGCCGCCATGACACCAAAGCAGCCTGACGAGCAGAGTCCAGACGCAGTGGGCGTCACTGACCTGTGGTCGGCCATGAACGTCTATGACTGTAACTATTGGTTCCTGGGAGTGGATCAGGCCACAGAGGTCACCGAGAGCTTCAGAGAGCACGATGGACGCAACGACGGCGAGAGCTTTGCCGCAGAGGTCAAGGTACGACGGCGCCGAACGCCTCCAATTTGTTAAAACGTGAAACTGAAGCCAAACTGTTAATGGTTGACGAGGTGTTGTTTGATTGGCAGGTGGTGCAGGTGACTCTAGAGTCTGGTTTGGGGCATCAGACCGTCCCTCTGCTGCTCGCCGAGTCCTCCTTCAACGGGTCGGCCAAAAACTGGTCTTCTCTGCTGCAACTGAAAGCCAACATGACGCTGGAGGTGAGAACCGCGGCTTCATGCTGGAGCCTGAACCTGGACGTGAACATGAATCTGAATCAGTGAAATGTTTCATCACGACTGACGTTGTGATGTTGACTTGTTGACTCGTGTCGTATCTGCAGGTGAACTACTTTAATGAGATTCACGCCGTGTGGGAGCCTCTGATCGAACGAGTCGACGGCGGCAGTCGAAGATGGAACCTGGAGCTGGAGGTAAAACTGACGTGAGACGGTTAGAGTGTTTCTCTCAGGTATTTTTATAGAGTGGGCGTCAGTCCATCCATCTTTACTTCCAATGGTGAAGCCTCTGGTTACAGTTTCCAGTTAATCCGTTGATGAATGTTTCTGAGTCCAGATGTTGAAACAATGTGAGACGATAATATTTCACAGATTTCAGTTGACACACGTTAACGAGCCGATGAACCAGATGTTCTGACACATACAGACAGAACATGAGGGAAGTGGAACCTCCTGAACTAAACTAACACTCGTCACCAACACGAATCAGGTTTCATTCTCTGAGAGCCACGGCCCCTGATTGAACCCAAACATCTAACACACCTGAAGATCTGTGATGATGATGATGATGATGATGAT